GACCTCGGCCTGCTCCCTGCCCGCCGCCCGCTTGTCCCCCTCCCCATCACCTGAAAGGGCCACTCTCTCCGACTCCGGCAGCCCTACAGCGATGGGGGGGATCAGCTGAAAGCAGAGACACCCATCTGCTCCCGGGGCCCTTGCAAAGAGACGGCCCAGCAAAGGACTGGTGAGGTCCTCCTGCCACAAGTTTGGTTAAGAAGAATGGGACTCGGCGAACAGGTATTTATAACAGGGAGTCAGACAGGAGCTCCCACAGCTGGGGCTGTTTGCCAGGAGCAGCCCTAATGCCCTCCTATAACGACACAGAGGGCAAAACCAGGCACCCCATTCCTCTTGTCTCTCTGACCCAACACACTCATGCTCCCTTTTCAAACAAGCTGGGTATACCAAACAACAGACACGGTGGCCAGTTGCTTTCCCACTCCAGTGATTTCCACGGAAGAAGCGAAGCACAGCTGGGTCCTTGCTCCTCCAACTAGCAAAATGCTTAACATCCTGATGTTAAGCATGATACCTCCTTACCTGCAAAGGTGGGACTCCTAAGACTAAATTCAACACATCTGCTCGCAAGCCTTCAACCAAGGCAGCAACGAAGGAAGGTCCCTGCTGGGTCAGCTCCTGCAGCATTTTGCAAGGCATAAAACCCCAAAAGGCTACAGAAGACAAGAGATCCAATTTGCTGCACACGTGAAGGACATGTGAAATTACAGACACATCAGTGCTACTCCTTTATGTGAACATACACAGAATCAAAACAAAAAAGCCAAAAGGATAAAAACTGAGAGCACCTTCTAGAACTAAATGACCCAGTGTAGTAAGCAAATAAACCTCAGTGGTACGCTTACCATTTGTACACCCTTCAACCCAAAGCTTTTACCTTTTCACTCTAAAAGCCATTTTTGTACCACTATAAAGAAACATGTGGCTCTTTGTAGGGATCTACAAAGTCCAGGCGTTGTCTTCCCACAGCTCTTTTTATTGTGTTTTGAAGGACTCGGGAGCTGATATTTGAGACCAGTCACCCATGTCTGATCCCACAACCCCCAGACTGAACAGGAACCAGAGGAAGCAAAGAGCACTACCTGGCACTGGTCCTCACTAGGGGCTGAGGATCTGCACCTGGGGCAGCAGCCCTTAACTGGGCACGGATGCAGCCATCATTAGCAAAGCTGCTAAACCAAAAAATTCTAATGGGGTTTCTACCTGTAAAATTTTGCAAGCATAGTTGACGCGGTGCTTTTATTACGCTAATGTGTTAGGCGTTACTGCTAATATCCTAGGGAGGCTGCTATATTAGACTTATGTTCTTGCCCTTATAGCAAATTCCTCCTGCATGCACAGCTCCAGGTGAGGAGGTGTTGAGCATGCCTGTACTGGGAAATGTGCTCAGACCAGTGCAGCCTCTAGTGGAAACCCGATGATCCTATCTAAAGAGTTGCCCTCATTGCATCTGTGGGTGAGGCAGACACAGCTTCCCCTTGTCTGGATTACAGGCATGCGTGATATTCCTGCATCAGCTTAACTAACGCAAAGACCTTCTGTGTTTGCAAAACCCTAATGTGACTCACCTTGTCCTTCCTTGGCCCAAAGCTTGGCTCAAAGTGGTGGAGTTTTCTCTGTGACACTCATGCATACAGACCTTCCTGGGTATGGCTGTTCATGCTGAAAGAGTAGGGGGGGAAAAACATCACAACAAAGAAATGTTCTGCAATCTCTCTAGATCTCAGCCAGTGTAGTTCCTTGCATTCCTAGCGTTCAGTGGAAGAAGCAGACCCCTCGCTCCACAAAGTTTCGTAACTGCTGCTAACAAATCAGTGCCTGTGCAAAGGCAATTGCCAGTCACTCACTCTAGAGACCCTGCGGGAACCATTTCCATTTTTCCAAAGCTGTTTTGCATCATTTTGCAGATATGGCACATCAATGCTTTAATAACCTTTTGTGTCAGCTGTGGGGCAATTTCTCAGATTATATGGGATGAGAAAATACGCAAGTAGACACAGAACTTGGGTTAACTTACCTGCTGTTTAAAAACAAGCACAGGTATATAGCTCCCTAAAGGCAACATCTTCTTGCACTACAATAGGAAGCTACAGGACTAAGTGGTGGGCTTTTTTTTTTTTTTTAATGTTGAAGTAATGCTTGATCCTGCCTCCATTTTGTGATTAGCACTGCTCACAACTTATTCAAATTTCACCCAAAGAGACCTGCTGTGTCCAGAACTCCCAAAGAGGGCGAGACCAGGGTAAATTCAACAATACTGAGGACTCCTACCCACAACAAACCTGACCGATTTACGGACAGTGTAAATCATTAAAGCATAAAGGGAAACAAGAGTCTCTTTAAACCTCTTAGCGTGAAGCAGGCGATGAAGCAACTCCAGGTAGTAGGGCCGCGCTTTTCCTTGCCTGTATGCAGTGTTACACTCCCTTAATCCCGAAATGTGATTTGCAGCTCAGGCTGTAAGGGGAGAGACGTGTGCCAGCATTTGGTCTGCCTCTGAATCAACGCGAGCTACTCTTTCAGCAGACTTCTGCATGTGCCAACAAAGGGTATCAACAGACAGTCATAACCAAACAGGTTACAACCAACTGCCGTATAATTGTCCGCCATCTGAGCTATCCAGTAAGCAACACGCTCCCAGCCAGTAGTGGCTGTCAAGTGAGATGCATCAGTTCAACCCATTTCACTCAAACAAGCTCAGTGAGGCTTTTCCAACCCCAGCAATGCAAAAGCATCAGCATTCAATGCTGGTCTCAGTCCTGCAGGTACTTCAGCAGTCACTTAGTGTTACCTGAGTGTGTTCCACTAACTTCAAGAAAAAAGTTTACAGAGTGAGGGCTGACGTTTCTCAGTAGAAAAACGTCTATTTTTTAGTCAAAGCTAAGCTTACAGTAACGAACATAGTACCTCCACGAGTGTTTAAATAAAAATATGATCTCATAGAAAGCCTGCTGCTTACACCTTAGTCCATTAAACCAAAACAACGCTTTCATAGGAGTGTTGTCATTTGCCACTGTTATTTACTCGGATTTTTTATCTTCACAATCTACCCTCCTCTCTAATTTGTGATCACAACTATATCATTATGCTCCATTAATTTCATCACAACCGCTTCCGCTGAGAGCGTGCTGTTCTCAAACACAGAGTTGTGACTGCAATTTCAGGGGTCATCAGAAGAAGAGAGAGAAAGGTATTTACGGCTTGAAGAACTGTACCAAAAGCATGTACAAAATGATAAAATATTAACATGAGACTTACCCTTTTCCCAGCACCTGCACCCAACTCAGATGAACACCACTGATGGGGTGCAGCCACACTTTCCTACAATATACACCACAGGGAAAACCAAAAGCAAGATGTGGCAGAGCAGGTAGCGCAGTTTCTCTTACTGTACCACCCAAGCAACCCAAACGTTGGCATACTGGCAGACTTTTCTGATACATTGCATAAACTGTAACTTCTAACTTAGAAACTTGAAACTTTCTTTCAGGGCTGCTCCCACCACTCCAGAGGTTACAGTTTCGCAGTCCTGCAGCTGCACAGGGCAATTTATCCTGCAAACCGGCATGATAACGTACTGAGGCAGAAACTATTGCTTCAGAGTCAGCAATCCAAAAGCACAGACCTGTGTAGCTTGCTTACTTGAGAGCAACACTGCCGCACGCATCCGCTCTTGAACGGGTTTGCAGGGGGTGAATCTTAGAAGTTATGCCAAGGTTTTGTGTTACCAAAACAGAAATCACTAGCCTGTACACACCATCTATTGCAATCTCTGTCCAGGGTTTGTGAAGGTTGCGTACACTTCTGGAATTGCAGCGGGCTGGAGGGTATTCCAGCTGCCTAGATTACAGGCAGCTAAAAATATTTTTGGATACCCGGGAGCCTGCAGGAGAGGTGATTTCTGGGGCGTGACTTAGGACCCGACGCAGACCTCTTTAAAGCCAGGAGCCTATATCGATCTCAGTCCCTCCACGCCTCTGTTCCCTGACTGTGGGACAGAAAAAAACAGCACACCCTCTCTCCCACACTTCCCACCCATATTCACTCCCCAAACTCCTTGGGGCAGGGGCTGCCATTTGCTTGGTGTATACAGGACACATTGTCCACTGGGGCTCTATCTTATCCATCCCACTCAGCTGTAATGTACACCCTCGTGGTAACAGCATTAGCAATACAGAACATTAGATGCCCAGTCTGGCACAACATGTGTCCAACCTGCCTCAGGCACACAGCGAATACAGAGATGATATGAGATATAATTTGACTTTGGGCACTCTTGGTACTTGTGTGTAGTTGTTGTACGTAGGTACAATCCCACACACTTGTAATAACAGCTACCCTGAACCACATCACATTCGTGTATCTTTATTGCTGGTTTTCCTAAGTCACAGAATCACAGGGCGGTTCAGGTTGGAAGGCACCTCTGGAGATGGTCTGGTCCAGCCTCTGCTCAGGTGGGGTCACACGGAGCAGGACTGCGTCCCGTGGAGCTCTGAAAGTCCCTGAGGACGGAGACCACAACCTCTCCTGGCAACCCACTCCAGTACTTGGATCACCCTCCCTGCAAAAGAGTTTTTCCTCCCACGCAAAGGGAATTTCTTGCGTTTTAACTTGTGCCCATCATCTCCAGTCCGTTCACTGACACAATGACTGATAAAGCGCTCCTCCCGCTCACCGCACGCCAGCAAATTACCCTCGCTCTTCTCAGAGCACTAGCAAGGCTCCTCCAGCCCCTCTACCCCGCTTCCCTCCTTCACCGCCGCTGTTTCTCAGCCCTCTCACCCCAGCCCCACGGGCCGCCACCCCGGGCAAAGGCAACCGGGGGGGTGGCGGCCGGGCTGCGAAGGAGGAGGAGGAGGAGGAGGAGGAGGAGGAGGCGGCGGCCGCGGAGAGGCCCGGCGCGGCAGGAGGCGGGTTTCCCCGCCGCGGCAGCGCCGCGCACCTGGGTGCAGCGCCGAGCACCGAGGCGGAGTACCGAGAGCCGGCTGGCCCGCAGCATGGCGCGGGAGCTGAGCCAGGAGGCCGTGCTGGATTTCCTCTGGGGGGCCGGGGGCCGCGCCCCCAACACGGCGCTGCTCCGCCACTTCCAGCCCTTCCTCCGCGACCCGGCGCTGACGGAGCAGCAGCGGCGGGAGCGCCGCGAATATTTCAAGAGCCTCGTCAACTCCCTGGCCACCGTCCACCCCGCCGCCGCTCCCGGCGCCTCCAAGGACATCGTCCTCCGCCGCAGGTACCGCGACCTCCTCGACGAGGAGCTGCCGCCGCCGCCGCCGGAGGAACGGCAGGGGGGGGGCGAGGGGGGGGGAGAAGAAAAAGGCCCGCCGCCGCCGCCCCGCCGCGACCCCGACCGGCGGCGCGGCCCCCCGGGGGAGGTGGCGGAGAAGAGGCGGCCGGCCGCCGGGGTGCGGGCGAAGCGGG